AATGTAAAGCCAAATTAAGTAGAATTTCCCCTTCCTCTCTAAAAGATGACTACACTCTAGCTGACCGCTCTGGATTTCTGTGAAATTTTAGCCTAGTGCTCACACTCACTGTGATGGCTTCCTCAGGGGTTCCCTGAATTTAAAAGTGTTTTTTTAAGGATTCGACCCAGGCAAAGTGATTGAGAAAGGTAGGAAGAGATAAACTGTCTAGATTGAGAATATTAGGCTGTAAAATTAGTTTTGGAGATGGGTTTATGCTTAAATGTTAAGGCTTCCTGCTTAAGTGGCTGTGTCAGTTTAATGGCTACTGAATGTGGACATTTCTACTCTCAGTGAGGACCTCTGGCAAACCAGGCTGGAAGGATTTGGGCCGGCCAGAGGATATCTAAGACCTTGCTAATGTACATAGTACTGGTACTTTCTTGGGTATCTTCAGATATTTAAATGTTAATTCTTTTTGTGGGGATGGACTCAGAGCTTTGGGCATGCTAGGCAAGCGTTGTACCACTGAACTACATTCTTCTCTTTGTTTTTTATTTTGAGACTCACTAAATTGCCCAGGCTGGCCTTGAACTTGTGATCCCAAGTGGCTGTGATTACAGCTGTGTGCTACTGCACCCACCCGAGAATGTTGACTCTTAATGATGCTAAAGTCGTACCTAAAGGATACGAGTAGCAATTAGTGTCATTTGGGAGGACAGGAAGGATCTTGGTGCCTTCTTCAGACATGCTCTAAGACACTTTATTTTGATAGTGCAAGACAAAGGGACTCTGGGATTACGTTTGCCATAACTGGATTTCTTTTGCTTTGTGAAGCTGCTAATGAAAGATTTTATTATTTTTACTTGCCATTTGTAAACATTTGGTAATAACACAAGCTATTCTCCACCAACATAAATACTACGTTCTGTTGAAATCTGCATTTACTCATTAAAAGATTTGCTTTTGAATGTATCAGCTGTTTATCTTTAATGACATTTGAGCATATTACTTTGTAAATGATGAGAGAGGGTGGAAACTGGATATCTTTTGTTCTTTCAATATTTTAATTAAAACTGTGACAGTTGAACAACTTGTGTTATGATTTATGAACTTGTTTTGCTCTAAAAAGGGTTAAACTTTGTGTTTCAAAATGTTTCCAAGATGCTTTTCAAGTGTTATTTTTACTTGTGTTTTGCTTTTGTTACAGCCAAATACTCAGCTTGTTTTCTATAGCTCCTGATACTTTCAGAAAAATCAAAATAAAGTTGTTCCCTAAAGAAAAAAATAAATAAATGAACAGCACTGGCAGGAGACAGGTAGGAGATAAGGGATTACATTTAGAGGCCATCCCATGTAAAAATTTTTCATAAATTTTCTTTCTACTTATAATTCATAGAGGATAGGGTAGTAATGCAAAAAAAAAAAAAAAAGCTGCTGGAGAAATAACATGTATTCAGCCATATGTAAACTGACTAAAAGGACAAGTTCTACACAGATCCCGAACCAACACTGTATCATGGACAGAATTCAGATGGTGAGAAGATGCCAACTAAATTCTATGGTTTTGAGAAAGAATCCTTTTGCTGGGGTGGGCAGTCAGGGAGTCATCAGCTTTTCCAATGAGCCTAACCCAGGGAATTTATCTTGGGATCTTCAGGGACCACATTTTGAAGACATTAAAAAAAAGCAACTGCAGAAAAAAATCAAGTCAGGTAGCCCCTCTTAATCTAACAATGAATGCTTATCTGTGAACATATTGATCTTAATGGGCGTTGCTACACTTTGGATCTGGAACGTCTCCTCAAAGGCCCATGTGTTAATTAAAAACTTACTGGGGCTGGGGATTTAGCTCAGCGGTTCTGCTGCCTGCCTTGCAAATACAATGGTCCCGAGTTCAATCCCCCGGTACCAGAAACAAAACAAAACAAAAAACCCAAAACTTACTTTCCAGCCCACACTATGGGCAAGCTGTGGGATCTTTAAGAGGTGGGGCCTAGCGGGAGGTTTCAGTTCATTGGAGGCCTCCCCTTCAAGGAGATTATGGGACCCTGGCCTCTTCCTTTCTCTTCTTGGCCTCCACGTTAAGAGGTGAAAGGATTTGTTCCACCTGTGCTGCCTGCCACACTGTGCCGCTTGCCACAATGTGCTGCTCATCCCAGACCCAAAGCCAATAGGGCCAACCAGTCCTAGACTGAAACTTCTAAAACTGTGAGCCAAAGTAAACCTTTCCTCCTTACAAGTTGGTTTGTATCAGGTGTTACGGTAACAAAAAGCTGGCCCGCACAGATGGCATGAGAACAACAACAGAAAAGCCCACAGTGGTGCACACTTTCAATCCCGACACTCTGGAAGGCCTGGATGAAAGGATTGTACATTTGAGTCCAACCTGAGCAATTTAGCAATTTAGGAAGATCCTGTCTCAAAAACAAAACAAAACATAACAAAATTTAAAAATCACATCAAACAAATGAATAAAATAAGAACAAAAAGAATTATGCGGGAAATAAACCAAGTGCTATAGAATTCTAAGGTTTTATGAAAGGGCTAATAAGGAAATCAAAAGGATTGTGAGAAGAAGTCAAAAAGAGATTTACAAAACTGAAAGCAAAAATAAGTAAAAAAAGGTAAAATCCCCCAAGACCAAATTAATTTCTTTCTTGAGTTAACTTAGCCGTACATGCTCACAGGTTGGGCTTTGGGAGGGTAACTAGACTATGGGAGCATTGTAGCAGACTTACTGTTGGGAGGTGACTCTGGTCAGAGAAGCAGGTCACTGTGGCCATAATGTGGAAGGTGGATCCCTCTCTGGACCCCTCCCTGTACTCTGCGGTCCCTATCGCCCATGAAATGAGCAGCTTCCTAGTCCACGCCCTTCCACCAGGCTGCCAACTATGCAAGAACTGACACTTCTAAAACGTGAGCCAAAATAAACCTTTTCTCCTTTAAGTTGTGGGTGTTGGGTATCTTGTTCCAGTGTCAAGGAAAGGTAACTAAGATATTTATTGTGTGGCACCTCGTGTCTGGAGCACAATGCCCTCTGTGCTCTTATACCTGCATTTGTTTGGTAAAGAATTTGAAGGAAGAATCTGGAGTTGAGGATCCAAATAGAAATTTGTTGACTGCTAAGAATGACCTAAAATATGGAAAATGTTTAAGGTCATACTTGGAATATTAAAAACTGAAAAGTAATTTTAAATTCTAATTTAACAACAGAAGAATGACACATTTATAATGTGAACATCCACCTGATAGATTATTTAGCAATTTCAATGCTAACTATGAAGAGTAAGCCACAATAAAGAAAGTTAAAGTAAAAAATAAATAGGGGGCCGGGGATACAGCTCAGCAGCAGAATGATTGTTTAGCATGTTTAAGGCCCTGGGTTTGATCCCCAGAACCTCAAAAAATAATAAATAAATAAGGAAACAAGTAAACGACTACAAAGGAGTTATCAGGGATATAAAAAGGATAATTATATTGGAGTGAGGAAATTCTACAATAGTCCTATTTCTTACCCCTTCACCTTCTAGATCTATCAACAAATTTTTGTTATTTTAAAAATAATAATTTTAAAAGGTGAGAATGCCATACTTGAAAGGCTACTAGTTGACAAAACATAAAACCTAATACAGGTTAGGAGTCTAGATGTTATAAGGAAGGTCACTGTCCTCAAAAACTTGCCCCTGATATTTTCACTCAAACAGCAGCCCATGAAAAGCCACCTACTCTTTCCTTCTTTCTAATGCCAGACCCAAAAAGGTAACCAGCAAAGAAATGATGCCAATAACAGAATTCATAATCATGACCAGCCTACAGTCACTTTGTTCTCAAAGATTTTTCATGCCTGAATAGACAAGAAAAATACTACTCTGCAATATTTTCTCTTTTTTGGTACCGGGGATTAAACTCAGGACCGTGTACTTGTGAGGCAGGCGGTGGAACCACTGAGCTAAATCCCCAGCCCTGGAATATTTTCTTCATAAGGGGTCTGCTGTTTTGGACCAAAAGAACAATTTATTAAGTGAGTCATCTTTTAAAACTACAACCTCGAAATCATACTTATACTGCTATCACATTTCAGAATGTCAGGACAGGCTGGGCGCTTTGCAAGCACAAGGTCCTGAGTTCGCTCCTAGGTACTGAAAAAAAAAAAAAAAAAGATGCATACAACATTAGGATGCTCCCAACTAACATGGGCTATATAAATTTTTAAAAATTTTTTAGGATTCTTGTTCGAACAATTCAGAAAGCAGTTTTCCAACTGGGCATGGTGGCACACGCCTGTAATCCCAGCACTCGGGAGACTGAGGCAGGAGGATCACTGCGAGTTCTAGATCAGCCTGGGCTACACAGTGAGTTCCAGAGCAGTCTGAACTACATAGTGAGACCCCGTCTCAAAAACCAAAACAAAATAAAATAAAAATACAAAAACCAGTTTTCCCCAGAAATCTTATAGTGATAAAGGAAACAGATCTGTCCACCAAAACCTCTCCCTTTCCCAATTTCCTATTAATAGCTCCTTAGGATGCTCATTTTTTCCAGGAGCCTCCCTTGAAGGTCTCCATCACAGAATTTTTGTTAAGTGGGATGTGTGTTTAGGGTAGGTTGTCTTACTAACAAGCTCAGTGATAAAACAATTATTTTTACAACACCACAAGTAAATTCTAGATGAAAACCCCTTTTAAAACTAGAGATAAGAATATAGTAAGGTGTGCTAATACTTTGCATGCTTAAGGACCACAAATATCCAAAGATATTTTTAAGTCTATATTAAAATCTTAGTATATTCTTCTCTCTTTAATTTTAAATTTCTATTTGCTAAAAAGGTTTTTCATGTAGAATTTAGTTATGATCCTCCTGCTTCAGCCTGCCTGAGTGCTGGGATCACAGGCATGCACCACTACACCTAACTAGGCTTTCCATTTTGTTTTATTATATTTTATTTTATTTTTATTTATTTATTGGTACCGGAGATTGAACTCAGGACCTTGTGCTTGCAAGGCAGGCAACAGAACCACTGAGCTAAATCCCTGGCCCAGGCCTTTGCATTTTAAAACAAGTATCCTTTACTTCACATTATGTCCCAGATAAATGAGTCGCTGGATTTTCCAAAGGGTGAGCTTCAATTTCTGAGTCTCTGTTATGCACCAGGCAAATATGGGTTTTAATTTCTGTTGGAACAAAGACATTTTCACGAGAGTGCTCAGAATATTCAGAAAAAAATTCCAAAACCTTTTTTTTTTTTTGGTCTGTTAGTCATATTTGATTCTTTTTGCCGGGGGTTCCTCCTTGTAATGGGAAATAATCTGAATCAGAATAGAACAGTTGATAAAAAGGAAGACTAGGCTGGCTAACCAAATAAACAAAAAGGTGTTCTTTCCTTGAAACTCAAGAAGATATGCAGGTGCCAGCCACAGGGCTTGCCCTATAAACCATAACACTAGGAGGACGACTGCTCTTTTCCAAGACATTCTCACTAGCGGCATTACAAGGGGCAGAAGGCAGAGGTACCAAAGAAAATACTGGGAGGTGCAGACTTTGTTAAAAGTCACAAAAATGGACGTATGAAGGAAACAGCAAAAGGCAAGGTCTCTGTAATAGGTGAAGGACACTGCTAAAAGCAAGATAAACTGTGGCAGGAATGCGGCAATTCCCAGAGGAAAACTCCACTTGCTCTCTGCAGTCAAATACAGCATATAGAAGTACGGAGAAAAGTTATGACGGATATCCCGCCTAGTCAGGTGATAAAGGTACGTGTGCTCCACAAATCCCCAACCGTATTTAACGTAAAAACCAAGGCTCAGCGCAAAAAATGTGAATCCAGCAACTGCTACAAAGATCAGTACAGCCCGACTACAAAGCCTCTTCAGAAATGCGTACAAACGAGCCTGGAGAAAAAGTCGGGACTGACGGCGCTGGTCATCGTCGCGTTCTGGAAGCAGGTGGAGAGCTATGGGGAGAACATAGGTCACCGGATACATCTTCATATGCACCGCGAAACCGTAGAATACAGCGGCGCACGCGATGAGTCGTTTCTCTATTAAGTACAGGGCCATAAGCACCAGGGAGGCAACAACGGAGTCCGCGTTGCCTCGGCTGGACACCGCCATGGGCAGGGGGTTGAGGAGCCAGAAGACACAGTAGCCACAAGCCTGGCGCTGTCCCAGCCCCTTCAGAAGCAGCAGGCGGTATAAGAGGAAAGCGGTGAGGAGGTCGCAGCTGACGAACAGAAACTTTCCGAACAGCTCGCTGAGGCAGACGTTGGGAGTGAGGAGCCAAGCCAGCAGCGGAGTGTAACGATAGGTCGCCCTCAGGTAAGGGGAGCATCCCTGCGTGACAAAACGCGCGGCGTCCGTGAAGACCTGGTAATCGATGTCCGTGTACCTCACGTGCAGGGTCCGATCCTGGAGGACCCCATAGAACACCAAGACGACCCGGGCAAGAAAGGCTACCGCGAATACGCCGGCGGGGCGCACCAGCAGGCTAGGGAACCGTGCTCCCCAGTGGCTGCTGGAGCTCATGACCTGGCTGTGGGAAAGCTGCTCAGTCCCACCTCCAAACTGCGCTCGGGTCTCTAACCCTCGTTACGGCTCCTCGCCTCAGGTGGCTGGCTCTCTCCGGGCAGGTAAGGCGCCATGCGGGGGAAAAAAAACCAGGGGCCTCTCGCTTCCGACATAGAGCCCCGCCCCCTACTACTTCCGTCCTCTACCCGGCTCAGGTTTCGCCAGAGGAAGAATTACCTTCCTTTGGATTGGCTGCTGGTTTCCGCCTTCCTTCGGAGGAGGCGGGATTTCCGGTCTCTAGGTTGTGTGATAGTGGCTACCCGGAAAGTGGACTCTGGTTTAGGTTTCGGTGGAGCTGGATGTTTTGTGCCGTCTTCGTTCTTCTCAATTCCAGCCGGCAAAAGTGGATCCTTGACACCCAGCGAGCCGCAAGCAGCAAACTGCATTCCTCGTGTCTGAGCTGGAACCTCGAGCGTGAAAAATACAGGAATGGAAACAAAAGAAGATAGTTCTCATATTTTATCGCAGCGGCTCTCTCCGGCATTCATGAGGGGTTTGTGGGCCCGCGGGACTGGCTGGGGTGAGTCGAAGAAGGCCTAGAGTATGCTTGTCCCGTGCAGTATTTCGGGCATACTTACAGTTTTTAAAACATTAGGTGTTTATCCGAAATTCAGATTTAAGTGAGCAGCTTCTCCATCCGGCAACCCTAGGTGGCAAGAATGGGAAGGGATACTGGAAACAGAGTTCTAAACTGTGTCAGGCCCTCGGGTGTCATTGTCTTTGTGTTTGCTGTTCCTTCCTCTAAGGTTGTCTTTCCCTCCCCAGTCAGAAGGTGGGGAACACCTTCTCAACCTTTTAGCCCATAATTCAAGTGTCAGACTTATCCTAACTTAGCCCACTTCCTCATCACGCAGAATAATTTAGATGCCAGAACTTTCTGTTGAACAAGGATGCAGGGGCTCTAACTCCAGAAAATTATTCACCCTGCCCAGTCCCTGTCAGGTAAGTGCTTCAAAATTCAACGTCCGTTCTCATAGCATCTGTCTCACTGCTAGTAATAAGTGGTTTTGTAATTCTCATCTGACTTTCCATGAGGATTTGGAGTTCCTTGAGAACAGAGATTATCATGTTCTTTTCTGTACTTCAATTTCTAATGCAGTACCAGATTTACAGTAGCCATTCAGTAAAAAGTAATTGATTTGGATGTTGTTCTTGTCAAAATGCTTCTAGAATGGCATCCCCAGAGTGCTCTCAACTCCCTTCATTTTCCTTTCAAATATCCTTTAGTATGTAAAAGTCTGCCCTTCACCCACCCCACTTAACCTTCCTTCCATGAATATCTTAGTAAGGACTTCACTCCATTAGCTTTCTCTTCTGTGATCACTTTTTGCACTTAGCCTGCATTGCAGAATTTGATACTTTACGTTAGATTGTAGTCATAACTTTTTCGTGAGATTATGGTATTCTTGATAATAGAAGTTATATGTAATCCTTAATTTCTTCTCAGTTCTTCATCAATTATTGCAGTCTTAAGCACATGACAAATGTTTAGTAATTCTAACTGACTTGATTTTACAAATTGAGCCTCCTTCCTAGGAGAAGATTTCTATCCTAGCATAAAAAAAAGGAGGTGACTCCGTCCAGTCTAAACATGAGTCCTGTAAATCTTACACATACCATATTTATATTCTGATGCATCTGTATCTTTTAATATGTCTTAGATTAATATTTCTAACCATTTTTTTCAGCAGAATGGTGATTCAAATAATAATAACTATGATGATGACTTACACTAACAGATCTGTTGTGGGCTTATTATGTGCCCAGCATTGTGCTAAATACTTTTCATGTAAGGTAGATATCCTGTCTTTACAAATGAGCAAAGTCAGGGCTGATGGACAGTAAGTTTCCCAAAGTCACATAGCCAGCCAATGTCTGCTCAGACGAGGTCTGTCTGACCCAGAGAACCTTAATTACTATGTGGCTGACTTTCAAATAAAATATTAATTACAGACGGTATGGTGCAAGATTGGCTTCGGAGAACCAGCTCCAAGGCCCATCTGCAAGATCTCCCCAGAGCCACCTACTCCAGAAATCTCATCATTTGACCTGTTGAGTGTACCACAGTCTGGAATTCCCTACACAGTTGATAATGTCCATTGCTTCTCCCAGTGTTGTGGCTCTTTCTCTACAAAGATGACTAGCCAAGGGATCAGGAATGCCAGGAGGCTGTATCTCCCACTGGAAGCTGCTTCTAGAGCTGATGGGAAAGAAGCAGACACGGGTGCACGGGGTTATAACTTCCTGGGGACCTTGGAAGCCCTCTGGATAGAGAAGGCTGAGGAGGCACTGGCTTCTCACTTCTGGGTTCCTGGAGAACCAGTCCTACTGAAATGTCTCCTCAGACAGACCCTCCCAGAGCAATGGCCTTCATACCTCCCTAGCCTTCCTCCAGAGATCAGCCAGATGCCTCATCTGCCTAGATTACCAGAGAGACCTCATGACCCCTGAGTGTAAGGCACTACTCCTGTCACTCCTGCATTCACCAGCCGTGGGAATATTATTGGATGTCTTTCGTTGTCCCATGCACCTCTGCCACTGCTTGGATAACCTCAAGAGCAGCACTCAGTTATGCCACGTGATTGATACTGTCATGTACCTGCCCACCACAGAGACAGACACAAGGGAACCCCTTTGTAAGAAGCATGGTGAGGATCTGGCCTTGCTCTGTGAAAAGGACCTGGAGTCGCTGTATTGCCATTGCAGGGTCTCTCTGACCACAGCATCAGTACCTGAGGGCCATTGATTACACTGCAACGACTTACAGGGACAACCTCAGATACTGAGGAAGCAAATGGAAGATGCTGAAGTGGGGTGTGAAAAAACAAGTTTCAAAGTTTAGTAAATTGCAGTTGAAGGAAAATTGGAGGAAGGAGTTTTCCTCTGAATTGGAAGAATTTAAGCATTGCTTGGGAAAGGAATAAGTGGCAATGCAGGCCAAGCTGCTTAATAAAGAGAAAATTGTCAAAATCTAATTGAGAATGAGGGCTGGGGATTTAGCTCAGTGGTTCTGCCACCTGCCTTCCAAGCGCAAGGGCCCAAGTTCGATCCCCAGCACCAAAAAAAAAAAAAATCTAATTGAGAATAAAAGCCAGATTGCAAGCCACATATCCACATCAAAACAATTTGTTAATTGAAATAAGAGGGAAGTATTTGCAAACAGACATAGATTTGCTGAGAGGTACTAGAATCATTAATAGGTATGAAGGCATAAAACCCTCAGAAGTTTTTTTTATATGAATTAAAAAAGAGTTGCCACCTCTCTCCACATTATTTTGGGCTGCCAAAAAAAAAAAAAAGATCACATCTCAGGTAGATTTGACATTAAATCCTCCTATTGATCTTAGGATCTCAGTAGACAGGGAAAGTGTGACTTCTGGGGTGAAGGAATCAGCCTGTTTTCTCTGTTCACCTACTTCTCATGCATCTTCCCCGAGTTTTGAAAGCGGGAGATGTTTTTGGGAAGAAGTGAGACTCGCAGGTCCTTAGGTGTGTGTAATGAATCATTCTCCAGACAGAGTTTTAAGTTACTTGTCCTGGAAATGGATGCTGGCAAATTGATGAGTCCACAAATATATGGAATAAAACACAGGTCAGGCAGGTTGGCATTTTTCCAGGATTTTTTTTTTTTTTTTTTT